TGTGTGTGTGTGTGTGTGTGTGTGTGTGTGTGTGTCTGTCTGTCTGTCTGTGTACGTATTGCAGGATCCTGATGTGGCTTTCAATGCTTGCATAGCGATCCGGAGCGCATCAGAGCTCCCTCGGTCAAAGCGAAAGATCATGCCACTTCTGAACGACAAGAATCGGATTCTTGTCTTTGGACACCCACCTCTAGAGATCGACTAAGAAAAAATCAACATCAAGCAACCGGATGGCTGCAATTTTTTGCCAACGAGCATCTAAAAAGCCGGACAGCAGGCATGAGGAGACACAGGCCTAGGGGATACTTGCATCGAAGAGATCCAGAGACTGACACACAACAATATGCGAGCTTCGTAATAGACCCATCCTGAAGACAACACCCTGCCAACATACACGCACCACAGAAGTATTTTCTGTCCAGAAATCAAGGGGTCCACACACATCACAGTCAATCTCTGCCCTGGGTTCAACTAACAGACAGACAGTTTTCTTCACAAAATACATGTCCAAGAAATTGCGATGCCAGACAAGGAAAACATCAAAGAAATCCAAAGGGAAAAAAAAAAAAAAGCCTGTGTAGGGATTCGGAAATCCTATTAATCAGGAATTCCAAGGAAAACAACTGCCTGTGTACATGCTCTGGAATTCCTATTCTTTTGGAATTCCTAATCCTTTGGAATTCCTATTCATTTGGAATTCCTATTCCTTTGGAATTCCAAGGAAGAACTGCCTGTGTAGGGAGTTGGAAGTGCTACTCAATGTATTCATTTAATTTCCTTAGGAATTACAAGGAAAAACTGCCTGTGCACGGGGTTTGGCGTTCCTATTCCTTTGGAATTCCATTTAATAATTTTAATTTCCTTTGAAATTCCATTTCATTTCCTTTGGAATTCCATTTAATTTCCTTTGGAATTCCATTTAATTTCCTCTGGAATTCCATTTAATTTCATTTGGAATTCCACTTAATTTCCTTTGGAATTCCATTTGTAATTTCCTTTGGAATTCCATTTAATTTTATTTGAAATTCCAGTTAATTTCATTTGGAATTTCTGTGCAGGGGCTTGGAAACCCTAATACTTAGAAATCCCGCGCAACTATCCTTCGGGACATCCGTTAAAATTGGAATGATACAGAGAAGATAAATCTTAGCATGGCCGCTACGCAACGATGGCACGCATAAATCGAGAAATGGTCCCAAAAAACAAAGGGAAAAAAAAAGGAAATCCCGGGCAACTGACGAGCAAAGAAACCACCCTCATGGTCTCTCATTACCAAATGGAGATGACCTCTCAAGATGCGGATAGGATCAAGTGATGACGCGTGTTAACCAGTTTCAAAGCGCAGATTGCATCTTCTCTTCATCTGGGAGGGGTACAGTTCTGGTTCTTCTTCTTCTTCTTCTTCTTCTTCTTCTTCTTCTTCTTCGTGTTTTTCAAAGGAAAAACATCAGTCAGGTGCTATATACCTGTTCTGTTCCCTGATAGCCCCCTGATCTCATGGCCCTCAATTGTTTCAGTTTGTGCCTACCGTCGTCACCCGAATAGGAACGCACAGTCATAATCGCGGTATCTAGACTGAAAGTTGCCCCAAATACAGCTATAATGACCACTCATTTAATTCGGGGAAAGAAGGTAGGAGGGAGTCGCAGACAGGTGCGTTTCAGGTCCTCTACCCTCTGGGAAGGCCGAGAAGCGTGTAATTACGAATTTTGCCTCTCACTCGGGCCCTCACTTGGGAATTTTGCCGCTCACTCGGGACTGACAAACGTCCAGGTCGGGAATTTTGCCGCTCACTTGGGCTCTCACTTGGGAATTTTGCCGCTCACTCGGGTGCTCACTCGGGAATTTTGCCGCTCACTCGGGACTGACAAACGTCCAACTGACTTAGCAGGTTGGGAATTTTGCCGCTCACTCGGGAATTTTGCCGCTCACTTGGGCGCTCACTCGGGAATTTTGCCGCTCACTCGGGACTGACAAACGTGCAACTGACTTAGCAGGTCGGGAATTTTGCCGCTCACTCGGGACTGACATACGTCTGACTGACTTAGCAGGCAGACGTTCAGTTAGGTAGTAGTGGTGGCTTAATGCCGCCTTTTTTTTTTTTTTTTTTTTTTTTTTTTTATCTTTTAAAAATTTTTTTTTTGAAACGGGCCCAGTGCCCAAGGCTCATATTAATATAAAACCTGAGGCCGGGGTCCTCACAGTCTACCCGGAAGAGATCCATACTTTTATTAGGTTTCGGTTTTATCTTTACTTTTTTTTTTTTTTTTTTTTTTTTTTTTTTTTTTTTTTTTTTTTTTTTTTTTTTTTTTTTTTTGGTTACTCAAAAACCCTAGCCCCTTCTATTATGGGGGGTGTCAGTCCGGTTACTTAATGCTGCTGCTTTTTTATGGTACAGAAAAGAAAAAAAGAAGGTTTGGTTTGGTTCCTTCATTAAAGAGGATTAGAAACTGGACCAACAAAAATCTACCACACTCAGCAGGGCGGCCTAAATCTTTTTGATGGACAGGAGCAAAAATTGGACCATTCCAAGCTGGCTTTTTTTTTTTTTTTTTGAAGACAAAGAAGAAGGAAAAAAGGCTCATTTGGTATTTCTTTCTATTTGAGTATTTTTGGGTAATTGCCGTTTCAATTTTATTTTTTTAAAAATTTTAAAGTGATACAATTTTTTTTTATTTTTTTTTCCAAGACTACTTGGCTCGCCCAGCAGTGCAGCCCGGGCAAATAAACTCGGGGTCATATTCACGGGGCACCTCATGCAGGCAAAAATCAGCCCCTTTTTAGGGTGGACTTTTTCTGCGCATGCCCATAGCAGCCCAAATCTGGGCTCCTTTCTTTTTTTTGAGTTCTGGCTGTCAAAGGGGGGGGGGAGGGGTGTACAAACTGGTTTTTAAGGGGCTAAAGGAGTTTCAAGGGGTTTCCATAGCCTGATTTTGTTGTTCTCTTTTTTTTATTTTTTTGGATCCCGTGAGGAACTTTACACAACTTTTTTTTTTCCCAGAATTTTTTTATTTTCTCTCTTTTTTTTGGCGCTGGGGCTGCCCAAAACCCTTCCCCAGGGTTAATGCCCAGCCAGGCACACGGGCATGTATCTCGGCACAAGTCGGATGCCCGGGCACTCGGCCAAACAGCCTTTTTTTTTTTCCTTTTTTTGTATTCACCTAAACCACTAGTACCTTTGCCGCGTGGGAAAATAGCGGGCCTCGGGCCGGCCTCCGACCTTTTCGGATGACCGACACGAAATGACCGCCGCCAATCAGATTTATCAATGGCAGCCGTCGTCGGGCCCGGCCTCCAGATTTTCAGGAGTTTGGGAAAACTGCCAGTTTTCCCTAATTTCCCAGCACTGGGCGAGGTACTAGTGGTCTAACGGAAATAAAAAAGAAAATCAGCACAAAAAAAGCAAAAAAAAAAAGAGAAAAAAAATCTTCTGTATTTTTTTGGGCCCTTTTTTGTTTTGTTTTCTACTTTTTCTTTCATTCTTCGTTTTCTGCTAGGGGTGCTGATAAGAGCAGACACCACTAGCACCATCAGGAAGGCTCCATCTATGTGTGGGGAGCAACACCTGCTGGAAATTCACCAGAGAGGAATTTCTTGTTATAAAATTAATATAAATGGTTTCAATGCAGAAGACTATAGCAGCGGCTGACATGTCTCGAATCCTCGGGCTGAGAGAACAGCTCACAAAAAGGACACAAAGGCACTCAAAGAGGTGTTCATGGGAAATATTTAATCAATTTTAATGTAAACAGGCCCCCAAATCACAACGGGGACGCAGTCCACCTCAGTAGTTAACCCATTGTTCACTTGGTAATGCAAGATTTGTGGTTAAGTTTCAAACTCCAACTCCAACAGTAAGTGTGTGTGTGTGTGTGTGTGTGTGTGTGTGTGTGTTTGTGGATGGGTGCATGCATGCCTCCCCTTTTTTCCCCTCTCCACACATCTCCTCACGAAACACTGGAACCGCACAAAACCCCTAGAAATTGACACTGGAACCACACAGAACCCCTAGAAATCAACACTGGAACAACACCAAACTCCTAGAAATCCACACCGGAACCACACAGAACCCCGAGAAATCAACACTGGAACAACACCAAACCCCTAGAAATCCACACTGGAACCACACAAAACCCCTAGAAATCCACACTGGATCCACACCAAAGCCCGAGAAATCTACAGTGGAACCACACAAAATTCACAACTACCCTAGAAATCCATATTGGAACCACACAAAATTCAAAAATACCCTAGAAATCCACACTGGAACCACAGAAAAACCCTAGAAATCCACACTGGAACCACAGAAAAACCCTAGAAATCCACACCGGAACCACACAAAAACCCTAGAAATCCACACTGGAACCACACAAAACCCCTAGAAACCCAGACACTCTCACACAAAACCCCTAGAAATTCAGACACATTTGTCACAAAACCCTGGAAAAAAAACACACATTCACCCCTCCCCACAGAAATCCACACTGGAACCACACAAATCCCCTAGAAATCTACACTGGAATCACACAAAAATCCTAGAAATCCACACTGGAAACACACAACCCCCCCTAGAAACCCAGACACTTTCTCACAAATCCCCTAGAAATCCAGATACATTTCTCACAAAACCCTAGAAACAAAACACACATTGACCCCTCTCCGCACATTTCCTCTCAAAACCCTGGAACCACACAAAAACCCTAGAGATCCACACATTTTCCCATGAAACCCCGGGACCAAACAAAAACCTTCAAAACTGAACATGCTTTCCCCCTTGCCTCACCATTGCAGAACCCACAAAAGAACCCTAAAAATCCAGACATTTTCTCACAAAAACCCGGGACTACACAAAAACCGCAGAAACGGAACATGGATTCCCTTCGCCATCATCATGAAGCCATAGAAACAAAATGCAGCAAGCCAGACAATCCAGCATGGTAGACACTGAGGTAGGATCGTGGGGGTGGGGTTGCGCCCGGGGACTAATGATGAAATAGTGGTAGGTTGGGAGGGAGTCCCCAAAAGAAATGACGCCCTCTGTAGATCATCTAGATAACCACATGGCCGACTACCGAAGGCAACTGTCATAGGTCTACCGTCTTCACCCGAAAACAAGGCACTGTCATTATAGCTGTATCTAGACTGCCCCAAATACAGCTATAATGACCGTACCTTGTATTCGGGTGAAGACGGTAGTATCCAACCTCTACAACTACCTGGGCCTTTGGGGGGAAAAAAAAGGAGAGAAAAAAAAAAGAAAACAAAACGAAGCGCCGCGCCAAACCCAAACACAAAACAAAAGAAAACAAAACACCCCCAATGCACATTCTTCTCACACCGCGATCAACGACACAAAATGAAAGGAAAATTCCAAATTTGCCTTGCTTATTATTGGAATCATCCGACACTCTGACACTGACATTGTCAGTGGTACAAAAATCGAAAAGCAATCACTGGGTCTCAACAAGTCCGTGTTCACAAAACAGTACACAACAAAGGAAAAAGGAAGCATCACACGTCTGTCTGTGGCGAAGAGAAGGGTTAAGAAACCGCAGCAGCAAGGTGCACTGGAAAACTTTTATTTATGGTCGCCTATTGCCGGATGAGGCGTCCGTGGACCCCCACAGGCTTGGCACATCTAGAGGCGCTCGTGGCTGATGAACTTTTAAGAGAGTTGTTTTAATAGCTTCAGGTCTATCCTGTTTCCTCAAGTGGGGTTGAATAGCCCCATACTTCAGTGTATACACGCCTATTGTACTTGCGACTTCCTGAAAAAGGATGCTCTCCCAGGTAGTGCTGGGTTTAGTTGACTTCTTGGTACCATCCATCCACCTACCCACCCACCCACCCACCCACCCACAGCTTTTGTGGGAATGATACCGATGCTAACCCTTTTGAGTAACAACCTATTGATTGCTGATCGGACGACTCTTATGTCACATCATCTGCAAAATCGAATGGCGACCAAATGCGACAAACTGCGCTGACCGAGTAGTCAGTGTATTACCCCCCTCCCTCCCCCCCCACGCCACCCCACCCTATCAAGAGGGTGAAAGAAGCTCACAGCTTCAATTCCTTTTTTCCTTCTCCCCGCACACCCACCCCACTGCCTGACAATTGGCCTCAAGAGGTTGAGTGGAGACTGATCGTGGGAAGGAGGATTAGTGAGCAGTGGCGGCTAAGCTGTCGGCAGCTAAGTCTTTTTCTGAGCTCAATATCTATCGGAACGTAGTAACTCCCAAGTGGAGGAAGGAGAGTTCAGATCTTCAAATTTGTGTTGACCCCCACTCTTATTGACAGCTGGAAAAAGGCGATTTGATAATGGATAAGGAATGAGTGAATGAAGGCAATAACAAATGAAGCACCGAGTCCAGAGGACATAGAAAGGTGAAAGGAAGACGTAGTCGTGCTGCCTGAGTGCAAAATAAGAGGGAACTAAGTCATACTGCCTGAGTGCAAAAAATAAGAGGAAACTAAGTGCTGAAGTGGTAAATAAGAGTAAGCACACACTTACTAGAAAGTACTAACTGAGTTACTGAGGTAGTTGAGCAGTGTGGCTAACTGTGGTAACTGTGCTGAGTGCAAGTGAGTGCAAAGAACTGCACACACTTACTAGAAAGTACTAACTGAGTTACTGAGGTAGTTGAGCAGTGTGGCTAACTGTGGTAACTGTGCTAAGTGCAAGTGCTGTCTCTTATACACATCTAGATGTGTATAAGAGACAGGTGCAAGTGAGTGCAAAGAACTGCACACACTTACTAGAAAGTACTAACTGAGTTACTGAGGTAGTTGAGCAGTGTGGCTAACTGTGGTAACTGTGCTAAGTGCAAGTGAGTGCAAAGAACTAACTGACCTAGTTACTGAGTCACTCTTAGTGGCTAGGTGCAACACTGCAAAGTACTAACTGTAAATACATTGACTTAGTGGCAAAATGCTAAGTGCAGGTAAGTGCAGGTCAGTGCCAGTGACTTAGTGCCAAAGTGATAAGTGCTTAGTGCAGGTAAGTGCTGAAGTAGTTTTCTTACTTAGTGCCTGCACTAAGCGCCTGCACGCTAAGTGGATAAGGAAGAATGTGTGCAAGTGTGGAGTGATACTAGGGGAAAAGGATAACAATTTTGCGTAAAGTAGGGAGTGCTACTGAACCAGACTCTTCAGAGTTAGTTGGGACTGGGAAGTTGAAATGTTTAAGAAAGTGAGCTTCACCCTTTCTGAACGTAGAAGGAAAAACACTAACTGAAGTAGTTGGTTAGTGCCTAAGTGCAAAGTGCAAATAAGGGCAAAGCTCTTGCCCCTTGAATAGTATGAATACCACTCTGCAGAGAAACTACTTGTTATTACTTAGTATTTCTGAGAAGTAGCAACAAGAAAGTATGGTACTTAGTATAAGTCCCTTGAATAGTATGAATACCACTCTGCAGAGAAAATACTTGTTGGTACTTGGTATTTCTAAGTAGAGAGTACCAACACGAAAGTACCAACAAGAAAGTAAAGTATGGTACTTTGTATTACTAAGTAGAGAGAGTACCAAAAAGAAAGTATGGTACTTAGTATTATTAAGTAGAGACTCTAGAGAGTACCAAAAAGAAAGTACCAAACCACTACCTCTTGGTTCTTAGTATCACTCTTAGCAGTATAGTTCCACGAGGCCTTGACTTTTTAAAGTACCACCATGTACAAAGTACAAGGTACTAAGTAACTTCTTCGGGTTACGAAAGCCGTACTTACTACCTGCTAAGTTCTCAATTAGCAGGCTAAGTAAACAGTATCATTATACCCATAATAATAACGTTGACTTTACAGTTCCACCATGTACAAAAAAGTACAAGGCACTACTAACTTTGCTTCAGACTAAGAAAACACTACTGAGACAAAGAGTCTCAACTGTCAACTACTAGCTCTCCTGCCACAGAGAGAGAGAGAGAGAGAGAGAGAG